TGAGTTTGAAAGTGACATTTCGAAACCCTACCTGCCTACTCAGTTCTTTCACACAAAGGAGGGGTGGAAGCCAGGTAGATGTGAAGTAAAACACATCAGGGCAAAGCAGAAGCAGGTAGGGGAGGACCAGGAGGAGAGCTTTGTGTTGCGTGAGGTGGGAGGTGGCAGCACCCAGAAGAGGGTAGTTGCAGCAGAGACAGATGAAAGTAAGCCAGTTCAAGGATATTCTGAGGTGCAGCCTGAGGATTTGGTGACCACCTGGATGGGGGAAGTGAGGGAGACAGAAGAGATAAGGGTGATGTCCCTGGTATGGGTTTGCAGTAAAGCAGCAGCAGATTCATTCTCTGTCCTGGAGGCCAGGGTTGAAATGCCTCAGGCCATCATGGTGGTGGTGTCTGAAGATAGTGGAACTTGGGGACTGAGGAGAGGAAGGAGGCTGGAGGTCTGAGTTGTCAGCACACACTGTAGATGATTGAAGCTGGGAGGGAAGATTTCCCACAGAGAGGACCTCAGACAAAACCGGAGCGTGAACATCTGGAGTCACAGAGTGGAAGAACAGCCAGCATGCTGAGGGATGGGTTGAAAAGTGACAAACTGCAGCACTGAAAAAGGCAAAGGAGGACGAGTGTGTCAGAGGCAGCTATGCTCTTGAGAAGCCAGGGGTTGGAAATCTCCCATGAGGTGTAGCAATGAGGCAGTCCTGGCGAGAGCTGGTTTCTGGAGTGGCAAGAGCAACAGCAAGGTAGAAGTGAGCCGAGTGGATGAGAGCAGGAAAACGGAGATGTTAAATGTTTAAAACCAGGGACCAGCAAATGGCGTATTGGTTATGTTGCTGGGCTCCCACGTAGTCAACTACAGTTCAAGTCCTGGACCCAGCGGCTTAAAAACACACTGGGCATATGTACGTGCATGCCCCACATCCCAAGTGGAGAAGGGCGAAGGGATTGCAGCATGGCTGCCCCCCCTGGGGGGTGATTTCTCACTTTCTTTCTCTCTGGTGAACACACGTGCCCTATAGTAAAAATCTATTTATTTTAAAAAACATCTTTAAGGACCAGCAGTTGGCATAATGGCTATGTTGCTGGACTCCCATATAGTCTTACCACGGTTCGAGTCCCGGACCCGGTGGTTTAAACTCACGCCGGGCACGTATGCGTGTGTGTCCAAGATTCCGAGAGGAGAATGGAGGAGAAGGGATTGCGGTATGGCCATCCCCCCTGGGGGGGTGATTTCTCACTTTTCCTCTCTCTTGTCTCTCTGGTGAATCCATATAACCTATGCAAAAACTTTCAAAAAAAAAACTCTTCCAAGGAGTTTGGCTGTGAAGAGGAGAGAGAGGAAAAGAGAGAGGGAGAGAGAATGTGAGAAATCCCCCCTCCCCCTGAGGGGGATAGCCATATTGCAATCTTGTTCCTCCATTCTCCACTCAGGACTTTGGGCATGCATGCACATATGCCTGGTGGATTCTTCAAGCCACTTGGTCTGGGACTTGAACTTCAGAGTCAGACATGTGGGATCCAGTGTGTCAACCACCACACCACCTGCTGGTCTGCAAATTGTTGTTATATTTTTGGTGAGGGAGATGGGCACATGTTTTGAATGCTCATAAGGAGTCACTAGGGCCAGCAGGTGGTATGGTACTTAAGGTGCTGGACTCATATGGCTGTCCATGGTTTGAGTCCCGGACCCAGCAGTTTGAAAATGATGTTAGGTACTTGTGCCTGCATGCCCAAGAGCTAGAGAGGAGGATGAAGAAGGGATTGCAGCATAGCCATCTCTCCTCCCACCCCAGGGAGTGATTTCTTACTTTCCCTCTCTCTGTCTCTGTGTTTCTCCCCTGCAAATGCATATGCTCTATGGCAAAAACCTATAGAAATGAAAAAAGGAGTCATCGAAGAAGCAGAGACTGGAGATAGGAGGCAGCTCAGGGTGGAGTGGAGATAAAGACAGCCTTGACAGTGCCAAAGGCAATGGGTCCTTGCAGCCCAGAGGGAGACAGTCTCCTTTCCTTGTGACAGAGAAGAGCTCGCGCAGCTGGAGAGCGAGGGGAGGAAGCGGAGTGCTTCCCAGCTCTCCCACTCAGGACCAACCGGCCAGCTACCATCGCTCACTAGAGGTGCCCCTTCCACCACTGAGCGTTCAAGAGGGCTGTGGGCCCGTGTCATCTAAAACTGACCGCTGCTGGGTGATTGCCCTACAGCGGAAGTCGCATACAAAGTATGGGGTCGGCGGGCAAGTCACGATGCATTTTTGTATAGAAAACCGTGTCGTGACTTTCCTGACCACCTAATAAAATAGTCTAACTTTACATTCTTATAACTCAGCATTTTGTAACAACCTTAACATTCTTTCAAGAATAAACTACATGGCACATTGTCCTAGGCCACCTTTTGGTCGTCGACGCTGGCTGTCATCTTTCCCTCTTCTCATCACTAACGAAACCCTGATTTTGTTCCTTCCAAGGTGAATCGTTGTTTAGGCCCCGAAAATGACGTCTTGACCCCGTCCTGATTGAGATCCGGGAAGTGTGGGCCGGTCTGGCTAAGGAAGAGGCACAAGACACACTTCTGACTGATCAAATGCAGACAGTCTGCTGGATGGGGGAGGAGCCTCTGAAAAGTGTTTCTTACTCTTGAGAAAAGTGATATGAGAAAGAAGCTTTTTTTTTTTTTTTTTTAATTTTAAGTTTTGCCATACAGCATATGTACTCTCTGGAGAGAGAGGAAAAGTGAGAAATCACCCACCGGGGCGGATGACCATTCTGCAGTCCCTTCTCCTCCATTCTCCTCTCAGGATTTTGGGCACACACACACGCACACGCACCCGCACCAGGCATGGTTTTCAAGCCATCAGGTCTGGGACTCAAACCAGCAGTCGGCCATGTGGAAAACAGCCACCTTAAGCACCGCACCATCTGCTGGCCACCTGTTCTTAGATGTGAGTGCACTGTACAGGTGAAACTGTGGCAGCTGTCAGAGACCTGGGGGCAGACAGCGAGGTGGACAGAGTGCGTGCCCAGAACAGGATGCGAAGAGCGAGGCCCTTCAGTGATGCGCCTGCGCTGTTCAGCCTTGAAACGGCCTTCCCGTGGCATTTCCTGTTGCAGAGAAGAATCAGTTTTCCTATTTGAAAGGCCATTTCTAACTGCAGTTGGTTAGTATGGCAGGATGGGGCCAAATGAGTGAACTGTAACAAGCCAGAACTGGAAAGAGACTGAAAATAGGAGAGAGGACGTATTTGCCACTTGGTAAATAAAACTCAATTCATTATGAGAATACATTCAATAAAAAGTAAAGAGGAAAGAGCTCTGGCAGAAGGAAACGGAAAAAGGGAAGCAGCGGGGCCAGCAGGTGGCATGGTGGTTAAGGCGCTGGACTCCCACATGGCCAACTGTGGTTCAGGCCATGGGCCAGGCAGCTTGAAAGTCATGCCAGGTGTGTGTGCGTGGTGCCCAGGATCCCAGGAGAAGAATGGAGGAGAAAGGACTGCAAAGTTGCCATCACCCCTGGGAGATGATGTCTCCCTTTCCCTCTCACTGTCTCTGTCTTCAGCAAACACACACACCTGATGGCAAAAACCTTAAAAGACGGGGTGAGGGAGGCAGCAAACGAACAAGGTGTCCCTGCCACCCTCGGGACAATGAGCTACACTGTCCTCCTCTCTCTAATTCCCATGTGCCTTGGTGGTTAACTCTCCCTTCTCGTCTATGACTCATGGCCGTCTCCGACGTCAGAATTCTACTAATAGTTCAGGGAGAGAGAGTGCAGGTTGTGGGTGCTCGCCGAGGATAGGCACTCCCTCCACAGCCGTGCATTGCAACTCCCTAGCCAGTGAGCTGCCCCTTCCGCTTCTGGGGGAGCAGTCAGACACCTCCAAGGGGAAATGTCTGTGGTGCCAACCCAGCGGCTCATCCACAGGCAAGGATTTAAAAATCACCTTCCGAATCTACTACACATGCAGCCCTGACCTTCACTACCCTGTGATCCTGTTCAAATACCTCCAGAAAAGTTGCACTGAATGCCGTCCACCCCACCTCCAAACCATCAGCAACCACGGACGCAGCGCCCACCTCACTGTCCTTCCTGGTGGCTCCGCTCTGTCTTTGCCCTGTGCCCTCAGACAGCGTAGCATCATCCCACAGCCTCCTTTCCTGCATACCCTCATGCCCCGTTACTCCTTTCAAAGCCTCACTCAGATCGCCCCCACGGTCTCCATCGCGACCCAGGTGCTCACCTGTCACAGCTGAGCCACCTCGGCCACGTCTCCACCTGCCTGGGCATCCACTCTCTCGCTCGCTCTCTCTCACCACTCACCTTGTCGCTGCCACCTCTCCGCTCAGGAACCTGCTGCGGTGGCTCTCTTCGGGAGGGGTCCATGGCCCCTCTACTCTGGCTCGCCACGTCCTGCCTCCTCCCAGTCTGCTCAGTTTGTCAGACCGGCCAGGCACTCGCACTGTGCCCTCTGGCTCTGGTAGTGCTGGCCTTCCTGTCTTGAGGTGCTCAGCAAACCCCGACTCTGCTTTCCTAAATCCTAGCCATTCCTGTAGTCCCAGCTTGAACCTCACCCCCTCCCTGAAGGCTCTGCAGCCACGCCATCAGATCACTTAGCATCTGATTGCCTTAAAGGTCTGTCCTCTCTCCCTGACTAGACCATGCTGCTCATTAGAGAAACCATGCCCTAACCTCCCTGCGGCCCTCACAGGACCTAGCCTAGTCCTGAACTCTGGGTAGGGACGGGGTAACTATTTGGGAGCTGAATGACCAACATTCAAGGGGCACCCTGTCCCTTCATCTTGGGGCTTCGGTTAAGCAGGGGTCAACAATGTCCTGCAGCCTTGAAGCCGACATGCACTCCAAAAGACACCCGGCAGAGCGGGAAGGATCCCACTTCTGAACGGAGACCACTTCCCCAAGGTGCGTCACTGAACGGGTTGTACTTATCACAAGGGCCCAGCGCGGGCCCAGCACAGCGTGGGGCGGGGCAGCGGGAACTCCATTTACCACTGTGGCTTCCTCCAGTGGGGTCACTTGGTGCCAGGGGAGGTGGATGCGGCTTGTCCATCAGCATGCTGGATGAGGGGGCTCCTCCCAAGGGGACAGAGGGGATGGAGTAAGGGCCAGGGACACCGGAGACCGAGGGAGGGTACCCGGCCTTTGCTGCCTTCCCTGCTTCATACACTGTGGAGGGAGATGAAGAGGAAGAGATTACGCCATCCCACCCTCCACTCCCTCGTACCAAACTCCCTGAGGGTGCAGTCGGAGGGGCTGCCGGACGTGTGTCTGGGTCCACACGCAGGCGTGTGCTCATACGCCCAGGACCAAATCAATCCCCCATTCGCTCGGACTCCTCCAGTGCCTCCGAAAGGCAGTGGT